CCTATCATTTATTCTTTCTTTGGCACCAAAGGAAACCTCACGGCAGCTTCCAAACGGCAGCGATAGCACATTGATGAAAAACAAATCATCAGATGAAACCGGAGGAATGCAGGTGCTCAAGGAGAAGACTTTCAAATGCCTTCTGAAATAAATAGCATTTAGTCAACGTTCATCAACAGCAAGTGAATGTTTCTTGCTGGGTCCTTTGGGCAGGGAGTCCTGCAATGAGGGGGCTGCCATCAAGAAGGCCCTGGCTGAGGCATGCTGGGAGTTGTAGGCACCTTTCCTGTCTACACTTGCCTAGGGTTGCATCTTGAGTTGCAAAACATTGTTGGCGGATGCCTTTTCCTTAGGCTATGTTAGGAATTGTCTTTGCCTTGTTGTATAGCATACACTTTCAAGGTGGAAGATCCCAGCCACAGTTCCTGGAAGCATATCTGAAGAACCGCTGAGACTTGGACTGATCTAGGCCAGTCCGTCTGTTATTCTTAACTATTACTGCAAAGCAAGGCTGACAAGGGTTTTTGTTTCATTGGGTCTGTACTTTGAAAACTGTAATGCAGAGACATTGGACATACCTTTTAGACATTTTGTGTCAGGATTTCTCCTTCACACACCATCCACATCAAGTTGGAAATTGGCTATTATGTTTTCAAATGTTCTAAAAACTGGACATTTCTCTCCCTTTAAACACCCAGCTGCATGCCTCTGGAGAGGCTTTCCATCTTGAAGGAGAACAGCTGCTTCCGTTTCAGAAAGAACATTCTCTTGGAATATGGGCACTGTTCAAAATCTGGCCTAGCAGAAAATCATCGTTTGTATGATCTCATGCATTATGACCCTGGTAATGTGTGGGACATTAACTTGGATTGGGATGGTTATACCTTGCCTCTCATTCTTCTCATTTGTGAGTTGGGGAGGTTCTGCTGCCAAATTAATTTACCAGAACGAATTTCTTTGCATGCGTGAGTGGATTCTGCTGAACTTTCAGGTGCTGCTCTGGATTCCAGGGCACAGTCTTGGTGCTCGAACCAAGATGCGATGTGTGAATGGGTTTGGCATTACCAACCTGCTACGGCCCAGAAGGCTTTATGCCTGCCACAAGAAAATGACTCGATCCAGATGAGACCCTGGTCTGCGCAAGAGAAAGTTTGAGAAGAATTTAGGGGTCTCTCTGGATTTGTGGCATGATCTCCAGATAGGCAGACTCAGAGAATCCTGTGCAAGGACAGCAGGCGCCATCTTGTCCTGGTCCGCAGACTGAGACTCGCAAAGGCCATGAAGGCTGGAACACAGGAAGTTGCCTTCCAGTGACTCAGATGATGCGTCCATTTAACCCAGTAATGTTGGCACTGACTGGCAGCAGCAGCTTTGTATGGTTTCGGGCAGGATCCCTTCCTAGCCCTACCCTCAGATGTCGAGACAAAGCCATGCAACGTGGCTGGGTTTGCCCGAAGCTTCGGCGAAAGGTGGCGGTGATCGTTGTTGCTTCTAGCCGGAGACCACAGCCACAGTGCATCGCCTTGGCACCGCCTTGGGAATGTTGCCCTCTGCCAACACCTCCATTCGCCACAGGCAGAATTCCTGCATGCAGGAATTCCTCGACATTTCAAGGAGCAACTACAGCATGGTGTTCTGTATCCAGGGAATTCTGTGTTTGATTCCACTCTTTAGCTGGAAATGGCAGTATCCCGGAGCATGTTCAGAATGCTTCTCTTGCACCCCTGAGAATCCCACTCCTTTCTTTAAAATCTTGGTAGGCTTTCATGTAAACTCCCAATGTCTTCTTTTAGGAAAGGAGTTAGATTTAAAACTAAATATTCTGCTTATTCCAAGTCTATTCTAAGGACCCGGTTTTGCCCAGTGTTGCCTTCATTGAATGCTTCGGAACCACGAAGGGAAACGGTTAGCTCACTACATGGGTAAACAAATTAAGGTTAGAATTCTGGCTGCTCCATTTTGTAAGGTACCCTGAAAATCCACGTGGACAGCAAGTGCTTGACCTATTTATCACATGCAGCCATTCATAGGCATCGTTCCACCCAAACTCTCCGAGAAACACATGCTTCAGTGGAAGAAGGCTGGATTTATTTCAGCTCCGATGTATTTGAAGAGAAGAGCTGTGCTATGGCATTCCAAGATCTATTATAGTCTGGACGTAGACTTGACTCTGGTTTAAAATTCCTGCTCAGCTGGGCAGTATGTGCTCAGCATCGCATTCATACGTAAGAACACTGCTGGATCAGATCAAGGACTTATTGACCTGGTTTGCACGTCGTGTCTATGCGTGGGTTCTTAAACCATGGGACCACGAGGGAGGGAGCATGTTGCCTCCCGCCCATCCCATTCTTGGGTTTTGCCTCACGACATCCAAATCTAGCGCTCTGGGTTGTTGAGGGAGAACAATCTAGAGTTTAAACCCAGCTACATTCCTGGGTTCTTTTCCAAACCAGAAACAAAAGTGGTCAGGGTAACATGTGTTTGCTCCCTCCAGGTCCCAACTAGCCATGGTTTAAACAACCTCTGGGCAGTTGTTATGGTGCAGTGCCCAGCATCCTGCTTCCTACCATGGGCAACCAGGTGCTCCTGGGAGGCTTGCAAAGACCGCAATAGCCCTTCCCTGCTATCATTGCTCAGCATGGCTTTTCTTATCTTCTCATGTCCTAACTGTAACTCAGAGGCATCTCAGTGGTAGATATATGCGCTTATTTATTAGATTTGTATCCTGCTTTTTTCTTACAAAAAACGCAAAGCAGCTGACATCATTTTCTTCCTGCTGCTCTCAATCTTATCCCCACAACAACAGCCCTGTGAGGTAGGTTGGACTGAGAGCCTGTGACTGGCCAAAGTCCAGTTGGCTCCATAGCCAAGGGGGTCTAGAACCCAGATTGCCTGACTCCTAGTCCCACGCTCTTAACCACTACACCACCCTGGCTCTCAATAACCCTTCCTAATTTGTAACCATTGATAGTCTTCTCCATTCATTTGCTTCATCCCCTTTTAAAGCCATCCAAGTTTATTTATTTATTATATTTTATGCCACTGCGTAGCCCGAGGACTCTCTGGATGGCTCACCAAAACAGCACAACTGAAAAAATAACAAGAAAGTGGTGATCATCACATTGTAGTATGAAATCCATAGTATAGTTACTCCTGTTGTATACCATCGTTTGCCAGGAGACTTAAACATTGCTTTGCTTTTTGCTCATGGCCACTCATGGATTAGAATCCATGTTTTGCTCGTGAGTATACACTGGATGTATGTGCGAGTTGACCCAGAGGCAACAGTTATGAGCGTAATAGAGACGCTGTGATAAGGTGTAAGGAATCCACATTCAGTATTCTTCTGTATGTACCTATAAACATACTCTCACCCTATAGAAGAACAGCAGGGACAAAGCATTAGATGAAGTATTTACGGGAAAGGGAGATACTTGATAGTACACAAGTATGACCCAAGATGGAGACCTCCTTTCTCAGCAGCTTTTCTGGCATCCTCTATGGAGGGGAAAGCGTGGCCATGCCGTCAGTCCTCCTGAAATACTCGATTTGTCCCTTCTTCTGCCCACTGCACCATTCCCCGTTCCTTGTATGTTGTGTCTTTTGTAAGCCTGTAGGCAAGGACTGTTTTGTTTCATTGATTCTGTGTAAGAGGTGCTGGGAGCTTTTCTGGCTGAGGACTGGTATAAAATATGGCAAATAAATATGCAGTAAGATATGCAAGCCGCACCAAGCAGATGCATCGTGCAACACACGAGATGGGCTGGGGGAACGGCTGTAGGGTCACAGAGGTGTACTCGCATTACTGCTACCAAAGAGAAAGCTGCCGATAAAATCAATCGATCAGTCGCATGTTGTAGGGCAGCTGAGTGCAGGAAAGGGCCTTGTGGGGTGATTGAGGAAAGAGGCTTGAGAAGGGCAAATGGAAGGGAAGCTATTGGGTGCTAAATGTGCCTACAGAATAACCTCAGGTCCAGTTTAGTGTTGTTGAGTGATTACACAGTGCTCAGAAAGGGGAAATGCACATGCAAAAGGAGCCACCATTTTGCATGTGCTCATTTATACATATGCAAGCTAAGGTAGAAATATTTCCTAACATTTAAATAGACGTGCAATGTGGCCATCACAACATCCTGTGCAAGAGTATTCCCTATTCCCTTTTAGCCAACGTTCCTTGTGCCATCAAGCCGCAGCCCCTTCCTCTTCAGTACATGAGGAGGGCTGCTCCGGGAGGTTTGGGGCAGCATGATAGCTCAATGGCTGTGTAATACTGCAGTCCCCAAAAAGATGGATTTCAGGCCCAGAAAGCCATGCAGGTTCGGGGGACGATGGCGCCCCCTAGGCAGGACGGCCCAGTTCTGCAGGACACCATTCTGTGCATGGCTAGGCAGAAAAAGGCCTTTAACTCCCAGAATGCCCCAGGCAGCCATCTTGGCCAGGGCATCCTGAGAGCCAAAGGCATTTTTTCCCGGCTCAACTCACACGGGATTACTCCTTCAGGAGCCAGAATGGCGAAACTGAGCTCTGCTTTTAGTCCGTGCCTTAAAATTTATGTCAAAATCACGGGCCTTGAGCCCCCTTTCCCTGACCCCCGGTTTTCACCGGGCAGGGGCTGGTTTGTGTCTTTGACGTGGGTCAGGCACGGCCCTCTCCTGAGGGAAAGTCGGCCCGCGAACTCCCGTGCTCGATGAGGGACGCGACCCGCCACGGGCGGGAAAACGGCGCGAGGGAAACGCGCCAGGCGGCCGCGGGGGGAGGGGCCACCGCCGCCCTCGCGGCCGCGGGGGGGCCGCCAAGATGGCGGCGGCCCGGCTGGCACGCGCGCGCTCTCCCCCGCCCTCGCTCCCCGCGAGCCGCCACGCGCGCAGCCCGCCGAGCGAGGAGCGCGCAGGCGGGGCGTGGCCCCGGGGTGGGGGAGGGCGAGTGAGGCGAGGATTGGGCGGGGCCGCGCGGGCTCGCCGGGCCAGGCCGCTGCGCACGCGCGGCCCCGCCCCTTCCCTCGCCTTCTCCGGGCTGCAGGCGTTGGTGGTGCCTTCGCCGCTTCGCCGTCGACTGCCTCGCTTGCTCCTCCCGGTGCGGATCGGGGACTGGCATCGCCGCGGGCCGGGCGACATGGGCGTGCGCGTGGAGACGATCGCCCCCGGGGATGGTGAGCCGCCCGCCGGTCGGGGGCGGGTGGGGGCACGAGCAGCCGGCAGCCCCAGCCTCCCATCCTCCGTGGGGTCTCGAGCCCTTCCCTTCTCCCCCCCTTAACGGCCTTTCTCTTTCTGCCCCCCCCCGCAGGGAGGACCTTTCCTAAGCGCGGGCAGACCTGCGTGGTGCATTACACGGGTGAGTCCCGGGGGGGGGGGTGGTCGGAGCCGCACGCACGCACTCTTCGCGGGGGCTGATGGGGGGCTCCTGCTGAGGGAGGGGGATTAAAAGAGGGGTGCGTGGGCGGGGGGGCCCGACCTGTGTTCCGTGGGCACGCGCGTGATGTGGCCCCAGGATGGGCAGGCGTGTAAAGCCGGCGCGAGTGTCTGGCGGCTGGCACGAGGATCCTTGGGGGGGGGGGGGCGGGCCGTGGAGTGGGGTTCTGCCTCGCTGGCCCTCCTTCCCTGAGAAGCCCGAGGAGGTGGCTGGGCTTATCCCCCCACAGGTGGAATGCAGCCTCCCCCCGACTTGGGCCTCTTTGGAATATAACTGCTAGCATCCCCCAGAGACGGTGGCAGGTACGGTCGGACACATCTGGAGGCCGCCGGCTCGGCGAACACTGGTGTCATGAGAAAGGAGCCATCTTGCTCTTGAAAAAACCTGTTTGCGATAGGGAGGGGGCTGCCTCCTCCCTCCCCCAGCTTCTAGGCTGCCCCCCTTTGGGCACAGTTACAAGTCCGCCTTCCACTCAAATGAAGTAGCTGTGATTTTTTTTTTTTTTTAATTTGGAGTGATGGAGCATAACTACTTGACAGTTGGTGCTACTTAGGAGAGAAGGGACTGAGTGCACGTGCCCCCAGCTAAGGAGCTTTGTGGCATGGGTCATCCCTGTGCAAACCGGTTGTACAATTTCCTTTCCCCAAGCCACCCTCTGCCACTGGGGCTGCTGAAGCAGTGGCAGATTCCCAAACAGCTGTGCTTTCAGTCTGGGCAGAAATCATCCTGTTAAGAGGAAGATATAGCTTAGATAAGCAGTTGTTGCCTTTTAATACCTTAATTTTGTCATAAATCTTGTAGCTTCTGGCAAGCACCTTTGGCTGAGGTTGGTGTCTTTTGCAGGATGTATTTCTCCTCCCTTTGCTGCAGTTACACCATTTCTTTTCCAGCCGCCTTTTCATTTCACGTAAAGCTACAAAAGGCGGCTCAGTTTTCTCCTTGTTTGGCATACTTTGGTTCCCAAGTAGTCTTATCCTGATATTTCTGGACCCAAATTATTTTTTCCAGTCAACTTACTTTCTTGTTGCTCTTACTAGGATTGTTGGGATACTTAAAGGATTCCCATCCAACGTGAGAAAAGAAACGGCCATTTCTGATTTTTAGGCACTAAACAGCAATTAATTAGGAGCTGCTTCCTTTTCATCCAGGAAAGGGCTGGACTGCACCCCTCCACGTTATTGGGGAGCAGAAGATACTTCTGCAAGTCTCTTCCAGTTATGTTGGGTAGCTTTACAGTTATATGATGCCATCTGCACTGTCAGATGATTATGAATAACATAGGCAGGTTTATCTATTAAAAATCCATCAAGGTGGTGTAGAACAATTTAAGATAATAAAACAACAGTAAAATCTTAAAATCACACATTTTGGAAAGCCAGCTTGAAAAGATGAAGTCCATCTTGTCTAATACAGACTACTCTGCTTGGCAGTGGCTTGGTCTTCAGGTAAGAGGTATTTTCCATCACCTAGTGCGCAAAAACCTCAGATGGTTCTGATCGTGATGACAGAACTTTGGAGTGGTTACTAATTAATTCTGGATGAGTTCGAACACAGTCCTTTGCTACTTCAGACAGAAAAGGGCCTGCAGTGCCCTCACGCCCCATAGCTTGCATTGAATTGCACTTCAGTGGTCTTGGTGGATGTGCTCCTAATGTGGAGCCTGTCAGCAGAAATGGTACCTGCTCTGGCTAGATCTGAGGATCCTGGTAGAGCTTCTCACTCTGCAGATGCAGGCGTGCGCACAGCCGACCCCACAGTTCACTGTCTTGTGCCTCCATGTGTGTTGGAACTTGTTATGGCAATGCATCACTGCCTCTGCACCAGGCCGTTCCTTTGGTGCAGTTCAAGGAATCTAATATTGGCAAGGCATGGGAACGTTTTTTAAAAAAAGAATACCATTCTTAATTGCTACACCTGAGGCACCTGAAGAGAACATTTGTGTAGCAGAATTAAAGGAGCTTTGCCTTGCCTCATGTTAATCTGTTTTAGCAAATTTTGGATCTGTACTGTGGCTGTGGGTGTTGCTTCAAAGGGTCCTGAGACTGAAGCTGATGGAAGGCTTACCTTCTTTGCTGTGCACTCGGGGGAGTGATGCTTTGCGGTGCCTCAGTGTGTGCGGAGTAATTATTTGTAAGGGTTAGACTTCTCTTGTGTGTGTGCCTTTTCCCTCTAGTGGCAACAGCCTCCCTGATTTTGAGGGTGGTGCTGGATCCCCTCAAGTGTGGACTCTCACCTTCTTAGCTGATTATTTTTGCTTCAAAATCTGATAAGGGGCTGTGTGGACCTGGAAGCAGGTTATCCTGCCTGTCAAGGGTGCGCATTTCTAGATGGGGCTTCATCGTTAGGAAAAAGTGAAGACGATTCTCCAGAAGGGCTTGTTTCAAAAATGAAAGTGAGCACATAACGCACGTACCTGCCTGCTTCTGTCTCTCAGAGCTGCTAAGAATTGCGAGTGGCAGGCTAAATTCTTAGTTCTGACCATGATGTATTTGTGGGTGGCCTGGGGTTGCAACACTGGATTGGAGGTCTCCTTACACCTCCTTGCACCAGGCACGAAGAGCACCCCCTCCGCATCATTGGCTGGACACAGAGACGGTGAAGGGGATGTAGAAGAGACCGTATGTGACACGGCTGTAATTTAGGGGCAAAGTTGCAAGCTCCTGTGCTGGGTAATAAGCTATGCAGCTCTTCTCGTATGGCAGTTTTACACCAGTAGCTGAAGCTCTTCACAGCAATTTAGTGGTTTAGGGCAGCTCTCTTCCATGTAGCATGCTCCTGGTGTGTTGGGCTATGGGTTCCATCATCCCCAGCAGTGGCAATAGTTGTGCGTATCGTCCACTTGCACACCTGGCTTCCAGCAGGTAGCATGGGGCTTTCAGAGCAGTAAAGGTACCTGATTTTTCCTTGTAGGGCTTGCAGCTGATGGCAGGGCGAATGTAAAGTGTGGAAGTCTGGTATGCTTTGACCACGTTGCGCAGTAACAACAAAACTGTGTTCATGGCCAGTGCTCTGCAGAAATAGGTGGGATAGCCTGATGCTTAGCAGAGCAGTTGCTCACATGTTTCCTGTTCTTAGAGGTTGTGATTTAATTTCTGTACTGTCCAGTAGCCAACGCTGTCACAGGGAATTGTGCTTAGAGAACAAAGCGATTTGAATATCTCATCTCCCTCCTACCTGAGGACTGCTAGCATCCAGAAAAATTCTTCCGCCATCCCATCTCATAGGTTTACACTTCAGGGATGAAGGAGGCAGTTGACAGGTGCGGCAGCTGCGCTTTCAGTCTAGGGAGAGAAATCTTCTCGAAACCCTCAAGGTAACATGGAGGGGCAGCTTCTAGGGATTGTAGATAAGGGATAATCATGTTGCCTTTTCTAGCTCCATTGTAGCGATGGAATTAGAATCATAGAAGAGCAGAGTTGGAAGGGGCCGTGAAGGCCATCGAGTCCAACCCCCTGCTCTTGCAGGACACCACCTTGCACCATCCCACTCAGAGGGCTGTCCAGTCAATTTTGGGTCCCTAGGCTGAATGGTCCATGGTGACTGGGGATGGTACCCCTTGCATGTTTGCGGGTGAGGAGAATCCCTGTATGAGCAGTGGACAGAATACTTAACTCTAATTCAGATTGCCACCAAAAGTTGGCTTTTACCTTTGAAGAGCTGTCCTTGTGTCTCTGCTTTCCCCATGGAGCAAAGTAGCCCCTGGCCTGGCATTACCCCTGGCCATTTCCCTTCTTCCTCTCTGCTTTACGTAGCTGTGGTGCAACATTGGTGTCGATGTGAAAGGGGAGAAAAGGGTTTGTGCATAAACAAAGCCCCTCCCTCCCCCCCCCCCCCGCAAAGCCAAGCAGCCACCCATCTGCGGCTCTTCCCTTTCCTGCCGTCATTGGGTGGGGAGAGGAAGTGAGGATGGGCTCCCCTTGGCTGCCGCTTGTGCTGACAGGAAGAACAAAGGCCTGGCTGGCTGGCTGGGGATCAGGAGGCAGTTGGTTGGGGCAGTGGAGTGGCCAGTCCTCTGCATCCGTTGGGCTGGGTGTATCGGGGGGGTGGGGTGGGGGGGGACGCGGGAAATGCCTTTCTGGCATCTCCCTTGCATTTTGCATTTGAACCTGCTTTCTTTTAGCCAACATTGCTGTGCACAGCTCAGCTGCTCTTCCCCCAGGATGGATTTCTTGCCCTTTCTCAGGTATTTTTGTACTCATTTGCTTTCCTGGCAAGAAACAGTGACACGAAAGGCTAACTTGTCTTGAATTAGTGAGTGGCATTAAATGTGAACTGGGTAAGGATTGCTTCATAATGTACTTCTAGAATGCCAGATGTCAGTGTTCAGTTTTTGAGAACAAATTCTTCAAAAAAGGAAAAAGAAAAGAGACTCAGTGGGAAAGGCTCTGCGTGCTGTTTTTTCCATTTTCGTCTCTGCAATCTCAGGAGTTATCTTCATAGCATTCATTTTCTACGAGGAATGCTAGATTTGCAGAGTGATTAAACAGCAGCAGAAAAACAGTAAGTGAAGTCTGCTCATGGCTTTTAGTTAGGATGGCCCCATACTACTCCAATATCAGAAGTAGCTTTCTTTTTCATGCCAGTTGCCAGGAAACATGAGTGGGAGGCAGATACCGTGGCGCTCGTGTACTTCGTGTACACCTGATTGGCTACTGAAAGAAAGGATGCTGGACCATACAGGCCTGTGGCCTGACCCAGCCGAACCGCTTCTGGTTCTTTTCCTGGTTGCTGTCTTTCACTGGTATCTCTCCGGTTCACCATATGATCATCTCCTCCTCTTATGTTTGGCTTCTCTGTTGCATTGGGGCATGTCACTTACATTACATTAAACAGAAAAATATGTTTTAATTCAAATCTTTCCTCCAAGTTCTACTTAATTTCCCTTTTCCTGCTTGCTTCCTCTCTGTCTTCCCTCAGCCCCT